CTGCTCCAGGATTTCCGTGGAGGTTCCTGGGGATTTTCTGGGAATTCCAGCCCGGCATTCCCGAATTATTCCCGAATTTGAAGGGGTTTTTATTTGGGATTTGGGTTTTTTTGGGGGGGGGATTTGATGTTTATTTTCAGGATTTGGGTTTCATGGGAGGGATTTGGGGTTTTTTTTTACATTTGGGGGTTTTGGGGATTTTGTGTTTTGAGGGGGATTTGGGGTTTTTTTTCAGATTTGGGGGTTTTGGGGATTTTGTGTTTTTTGGGAGGGATTTGGTGATTTTTTTGGGATCACTCACTGGGATATCCCAGGAATTCCTCCCCAAATCCCATTTCCCCCTTTCCCAGGGAATTCCCTCCATTCCCAGCTCTCCCAGTTTGGGTTTGGATCCATCCCCATCCCGACTCCTCTCTGGGAAGGAATTTTGGGAATTCAGGACTCCAGGCAGGGTCTCCCTTCCCTTTTCCATCCCCGAATTCCATAAAAATCCCTCAGGGATGGATCCTGAGCGTCCTGGATCCCAAAATCCCGGAATTTTTTTTGGGGTGGAATCCATGGATCTTCAATCCCTCCTTTTTTCCTTTTTCCCAGATTTTTTTCCCCTTTTTCTTCCTTTCCCATTTCCCCTATTCCCCATTTTCTCCATTTCCTTTTCCCCCTTTCCCCTCATTTCATTTTTCCCCCTTTCCCCTCCACCCATCCATCTCCCCACCAATCCCAAACTCCTCCAGCCATCCCAAAATTCCCCAAATTTTTGTTTTTTGGTTTTTTGTGTTTTTTTCCCCCCCAGGGAAGATCATCTCCATCGACACGAGCTCTCTGCGCGCCGCCGGCCGCACGGGCTGGGAGGATCTGGTCAGGAAATGCATCTACGCCTTCTTCCAGCCCCAGGGCCGAGAGCCCTCCTATGCCAAGCAGCTCTTTCAGGAAGGTGATTCCCAAAATTTCACCCTTTTTTTGGGGNGGGTGGGTGGGGTTGGGGGGTTTTTGGGGTTTTGTTGGGATTTTTGTGGGATTTTTCTGTGTTTTTCCCCGGAATTTCCAATTTTTCCCCCTCAGTGATGACTCTGGCCCGGCCTCCAGCCCCTCATCCCCCTCACCCTGAGCCACGGCTCCGTGCTGATCCTGCCTTGGTTTTATTCTGTTTTTTGGGATTTTATTGGGATTTTTCTCAGGATTTTCTCAGGATTTTTTTGGGATTTTCTTAGCATTTCCTGGATTTTTCCCACATTTCTCCCCAAAATTCCCATTTTTCCCTCAGTGATGACTCTGGCCCGGCCTCCAGCCCCCCATCCCCTTCACGCTGAGCCACAGCTCCGTGCTCATCCTGCCTTGGGGTTTAGCATTTTCTCAGGATTTTATCGGGATTTTATTGGGATTTTATTGGGATTTTCCCGGAATTTTCCCGGAATTTTCCCACATTTTCCCCCAATTCCCATTTTTCCCCCAGTGATGACTCTGGCCCAGCCTCCAGCCCTCATCCCCCTCACGCTGAGCCACGGCTCCGTGCTCATCCTGCCTTGGGTCCTGTTGGGATTTTTGGGATCAGATTCTCATTGGATTGGGGTTTTTGGGATGGGATTGGGATTTTTAAAAGATTTTCTTGGGATATTCCCAGGATTTTCCTGGGATTCAGGAGTTTTTTCCCCTCAGTGATGACCCCAACACTGCATTGATCCCCTCGTCCCCTTCACCCTGAGCCACAGCTCCGTGCTCATCCTGCCTTGGTTTTATTCTGTTTTTTGGGATTTTATTGGGATTTTTCTCAGGATTTTCTCAGGATTTTATTGGGATTTTCTTAGCATTTCCTGGATTTTTCCCACATTTCTCCCCAAAATTCCCATTTTTCCCTCAGTGATGACTCTGGCACGGCCTCCAGCCCCCCATCGCCCTCACCCTGAGCCACAGCTCCGTGCTGATCCTGCCTTGGTTTTATTCTGTTCTTTGGCATTTTCTCAGGATTTTTTTGAGATTTTCTCAGGATTTTATTGGGATTTTCCCAGAATTTTCCCCCATTTCCCCCCCCCAGTTCCCGTTTTTCCTGCAGTGATGATTCTGGCAGGGCCTCCAGGCCCTCGTACCGTTTCACGCTGAGCGACGGCTCCGTGCTCATCCTGCCTTGGTTTTATTCTGTTTCTTTGGGATTTTTGGGGGATTTTCTCAGGATTTTATTGGGATTTTCCTGTATTTCCCCCCCAATTCCCGTTTTTCCCCGCAGTGATGAGGCGGGGCACGGCGTTCAGCCCCTCGTACCGCTTCACGCTGAGCCACGGCTCCGTGCTCATCCTGCCTTGGTTTTATTCTGTTTCTTTGGATTTTATTGGGATTTTATTGGGATTTTCTCAGGATTTTATTGGGATTTTCCCAGAATTTTCCCCCATTTCCCCCCCCAGTTCCCGTTTTTCCTGCAGTGATGATTTTGGCAGGGCCTCCAGNTTCCCCTCAGTGATGACCCCAACACTGCATTGATCCCCTCGTCCCCTTCACCCTGAGCCACAGCTCCGTGCTCATCCTGCCTTGGTTTTATTCTGATCTTTGGGATTTTATTGGGATTTTCTCAGGATTTGTTCATGATGTTATTGGGATTTTCTTAGCATTTCCTGGATTTTTCCCACGTTTCCCCCCAAAATTCCCATTTTTCCCCCAGTGATGACTCTGGCATGGCCTCCAGCCCCCCATCCCCTTCACGCTGAGCCACGGCTCCGTGCTCATCCTGCCTTGGGTTTTAGCATTTTCTCAGGATTTTATTGGGATTTTTGGGGGATTTTCTCAGGATTTTATTGGGATTTTCCCAGAATTTTCCCGGAATTTTCCCACATTTTCCCCACAATTCCCATTTTTTTCCCCCAGTGATGACTCTGGCAGGGCCTCCAGCCCCTCATCCCCCTCACGCTGAGCCACGGCTCCGTGCTCATCCTGCCTAGGGTCCTGTTGGGATTTTTGGGATCAGATTCTCATTGGATTGGGGATTTTGGATTTTCTTGGGATTTTTTTAGGATTTCATCAGGATTTTCCTCGATTTTTCCAGGAATTCCATGTTTTTCCCCTCAGTGATGACCCCAACACTGCATTGATCCCCTCATCCCCTTCACCCTGAGCCACGGCTCCGTGCTCATCCTGCCTTGGTTTTATTCTGTTCTGTGGGATTTTATTGGGAATTTCTCAGGATTTTATTGGGATTTTATTGGGATTTTCCTGTATTTCCACCCAATTCCCATTTTTTCCCCGCAGTGATGAGGCGGGGCACGGCGTTCAGCCCCTCGTACCGCTTCACGCTGAGCGACGGCTCCGTGCTCATCCTGCCTTGGTTTTATTCTGTTTCTTTGGGATTTTATTGGGAATCTCTCAGGATTTTATTGGGATTTTCCTGTAATTTCCCCTCCAATTCCCGTTTTTCCCCGCAGTGATGAGGCGGGGCACGGCGTTCAGCCCCTCGTACCGCTTCACCCTGAGCCACGGCTCCGTGCTCATCCTGCCTTGGCTTTATTCTGTTTCTTTGGATTTTATTGGGATTTTTGGGGGATTTTCTCAGGATTTTATTGGGATTTTCCCAGAATTTTCCCCCATTTCCCCCCCCAGTTCCCGTTTTTCCTGCAGTGATGATTTTGGCAGGGCCTCCAGCCCCTCGTACCGCTTCACTCTGAGCCACGGCTCCGTGCTCATCCTGCCTTGGTTTTATTCTGTTCTTTGGCATTTTCTCAGGATTTTATTGGGATTTTCTCGGGATTTGCAGGAATATCTCCCCCAATTCCCGTTTTTTCCCCGCAGTGATGAGGCGGGGCACGGCGTTCAGCCCCTCGTACCGTTTCACGCTGAGCGACGGCTCGGTGCTGAGCGCTCACACCAAGTGCAAGCTGTGCTACCCCTCGAGCCCCGAGCTGCAGCCCTTCATCATGGGCATCCACGTCATCGACAGGTGAGCCCTTCCCACCCATCCCTCCTCTCCATTCCCCGGGAATTCCACGGGATTCCCCAGCCCCTCATCACCCACCCGGAGCGGCCCCAGGCTCTGATGGCGTCCCGGGGTTTTTCCCAGATTGGTGTTTTCTGGTTTTTGGTTTTTTTTTTTTTTCCCCTGGATTGTCAAATTTCAAAATTCTCTGAGTTCTGAAATTCTTTTTGTTGTTTCCTAAGAAAAAGTTTCTGGTGTTTTTCACGCTCTTGGTGGGGAATTTTTCCCTAAAATTCAGCCTCAAGCTCCTCCAGCCATTCCCTGGATGTTTGGTGTGGGATTGGTATTGGGATCGGGATCAGGATCGGTATTAGGACTGGGACTGGGATTGGCTTTGGGATCAAGAACAGATTGAGACTGGGATCAGGACTGGGATTGAGATTGGGATCAGGTTTGGGATCAGGATTGGGATTATGATTTGGATTGGATCGCGATTGGGATTAGGATTAGGAATGGGATTGGGATCAGGATTGGGACTGGCTTTGGAATTGGGATTGGGATTAGGCTCAGGATCAGGTTCAGGGCTAGGATTGGGATCAGGATTGGGTGGACCAGGATCGAGAATAGAATTAGGATTAGGATCGGGTCTGGATTGGGATTGGGATTGGGACTGGGATTGGGATCGGGATCAGGTTCAGGATAAAGATTTGAATTGGGATTGGCTTTGGGATTTAGATTGGAATCGGGGTCGGGATTAGGATCAAAATCATGACCAGGATGTGGATTAGGATTGGGATCAGGGTCAGGACTAGGATTGGGAATGAGATTGGGATTGGGATCGAGATTGGGATCAGGATCAGAATCGAGATTTAGACTGGAACAGGATTGGGATTGGGATCGAAATTGAGATTGGGATTGGGATTAGGACTGGAATTGGGACGAGGATTGGGATCAGGAACAGGTTCAGGATAAGGATTGGGATTGGGATTTGTATTAGGATTGGATTCATGACCAGGATTGGGATTAGGATTGGTATCAGATTCAGGACTAGGATTGAGATTGAGATTGGGATCGAAATGGGGATCAGGAACAGGATTGAGATTGGGATTGGAACAGGACTGGGATCAGGTTCAGGATTGGGATTGGGATCAGGTTCAGGATTGGGACTGGGTTGGGATTGGGATTGGGATCAGGGTCAGGATTGGGATTGGGTCGGGATTGGGATTGGGATCAGGGTCAGGATCAGGATTGGATCGGGATTGGCGTTGAAATTGGAATTGGATCAGGATCTGTATCGGGATTGGGATTAAGCTCATGATAAGGATTAGGATTAGGATTAGGATTAGGATCAGGATTAGGATCAGGATTGGGATCCAGAGGCCTCAATCCCTGGAATCAATGCCAGGAAAATTCCGGAATCTTTGCAGTTCCGGCAGCTCCGGAGGGCTGGGGATTGATGATGTCATAATTCCCTCGGAATTCTGGGGGTTTCTTGTTTTTTTGGGAATGTTTCCTCCTCCAGATCCATTCCATAAATTTGGGAATTGCAAGTCCCAGATTCCTGGATTTTGGATGGGGGATGGAATTCCCAGGATCCTTCCCAGCCAATCCTGTCTGGAGTTGCAGGACATCCCTGGGGAATTTTTGGGAAGCAGAAAGGGGCTGGGATAGTGGGAATTCCAGATGTGCAGAAAGGGTTGGAACAGCTGGAATTCCAGGCAGGGAATTTCTGGGATGAGGATTTGGGAATTCCAGATGTGAACAAAGGTCTGGAGCAGCCAGAATTCTGAGCAGGGAATTTTTGGGATCCTTCCTGCTATTGGAGGAAATTTTGGGAATTCCAGATGTGAAGAAAGGGTTGGAACAGCTGCAATTCCGAGCAGGGAATTTTTGGGATTCCTGCTGCCATCAGAGCAGAGTTTGGGAATTCCAGAGCTGGAGAAAGATTTGGAGCAGCCAGAATTCTGCAGAAGGAATTTTTGGGATTCCTGCATTTAGGATTCCCACGTGAATTTTTAGGGTCGTCTCGGGGAAGCACCAAAAATTTGGGAAAACCAATTTTTCCTTCATTTTTTTCTTTCGTTTCTTTTCCTTTTCCTGCAGGGATCACGGAATTCTCCCTCCCCAGGACAGCCCCGCTCCCGGCCTGGCCCTTCCCAGATTAAATCCCAACATTTCCCCGGGGTCGGGAATGGCTTTGGCCCCTTCCCTCCCCGCATCCAACGGCTCCGTCATGGCCACGCCCTCTCCCCATCCCGCCAATTCCCAGCAGAATTTCGGGAACGCGCTGGCGTCCAACGTTGCCTTAACCCCAAACCCCGCGGGTAATTCCCACCCTTTGTCCCACGGCAGCTCCCCCATGGGCAGCCCCGCCATTCCGGCGCCGCAATTCCTGAATCCTCGGCACCGCGGCAGCCCGGGCTTGATTCCCAGATCCCGAGCTCCTCCTCCTCCTCCTCCTCCTCCTCCTCTTCCTCCTCCTGCTGCTGCTGCTGCTGCTGCTCCCGGCAATCCCTTCTCGCCGTCCATGCACTCCTCCGGAGGCGGGAATTCCCGACCTTTCCCGGCAAATCCCGACGCCAACCCGGCGGCGTCGGCGTCGTCGGCGCCGTTCCCCAGGCAGCAGAATTCCCAAAACTCCCCCGGTCGTTTGGGCGGCAAATCCGAATGCAAGGATTCCTTGGGAGAGGCCGTCCAAGGAGAGGCGGAGAAAGGGGCGGAAACGGCGCCCGGATCCGACGGCTCCGACGGGAAATGCCCGCAGGCCACCAGCCAGCGTCTGGTGCAGCTCCTGGCCAGCACGGCCGAGCAGCAGCTGCGGCACCACGCCGACGCCGACACCAGCTCCAAGGATTCCTTGGCCTGCGCCGGCGTCTCGTCCGGGAATGCCGCGGCCGGGAATTCCTGCCCGTCCTCGCACAGCTCGCTGACGGAGCGGCACAAAATCCTGCACCGGCTGCTGCAGGAGGGGAGCCCCTCGGACGTGCCGGGCTTGGAGCAGGACAAGAAGGAGAGCGCGGGCGGGAATCCCGGCGGGAATCCCGGCGGGAATCCCGGCGGGACGGCGGAGGCGGAGAAGAAGAAGGAGAGCAAGGATCACCAGCTGCTGCGGTACCTGCTGGACAAGGACGAGAAGGAGGCGGCAGCCGCGCTCGGCCTGGACGACGTCAAGGTCAAGGTGGAGAAGGGCGAGGCCCCGGAGCCCTGCCCGGCCCCGCCCGGAGCGATTCCCAAAATCCCACCCGGGGACGACGGAAAGGCGGAGGCGGCGCCGGGCCAGGTGGGTGTGGGGGCTCGGGCTGCTGCTCTGGGACTGGGGGCTGCTGGTTCTGGGGAATGGTGGGATCCCAATCCTGATCCCAATAGCAAACACAAACCCCATCCTAAACCCAATCCTAATCCCAATCCTGATCCCAATCCCAAACCCAATCCCAATCCTTATCCCAATACCAAACCCAATCCTAACCCCAATACCGAACCCAAACCCCATCCTAAACCCAATCCTAATCCCAATCCTGATCCCAATACCAAACCCAAACCTCATCTTAAACCCAATCCTAATCCCAATCCTGATCCCAATACCAAACACAAACCCCATTCTAAACCCAGTACCGATCCCAATCCTGATCCCAATACCAAACCCAATCCTAAACCCAATCCCAATGCTAACCCCAATACCGAACCCAAACCCCATCCTAAAGTCAATTCCAAGCCCAATCCTGATCCCAATACCAAACACAAACCTGATCCTAAACCCAATCCTAATCCCAATCCTGATCCCAATACCAAACCCAAACCCATCCTAAACCCAGTACCAAACCCAATCCCAATCCTCATCCCAATACCAAACCCAAACCCCATCCCAAACCTGATCCTGATTCCAGTCTCCATCCCAGTCCCAATCCCAGTCCTGATCTTGATCCCAATCCCAATCCCAGTCCTAATTCTGGTCCTGATCCCTATGCCAAATCTCATCTCGATCCCAATCCCATTTCTGATCCTAATCCAAATCCTGATCCTAATTCCAATCCCGATTCTCATTCTAATTCCGATCCCAGTCTCAATCCCGAGCCTGATTCTAATTTCAATCTCGATCCTGATCGTGATCCTGATCCTAATCCAAATCCCAATCCTAATCTCAATCCCAATCCTAAACCCAACACCAAACCCAAACCCGATCCTGATTCCAGTCTCCATCCCAATCCTAGTCCTGATCTTGATGCTGATCCCAATCTCCATCCTAATTCTGGTCCTGATCCCAATCCCAAATCAGATCCCGATCCCAATCCCAATCCTGATCCCAATCCCAATCCTGATCCTGATCCCAACAATTTCTCCCTGGAAATTCCAGGATTTTTCCTGGTGCATTCCAGGATTTTTCTCAGGGAATTCCAAGATTTTCCCTTGCCCAATCTCAGATTTTCCCTGGAAATTCCAAGATTTCCCTGGGAATTCCAAGGTTTTCCTTCGCCCATTCCAAGATTTTTCCCAGGGAATCCCAAAAGTTTCCCAGGCTCATTCCCGGATTTTTCCCTGGGAATTCCAAGATTTTCCCTCGCCCATTCCAGGATTTTCCCTGGAAATTCCAAGATTTTCTGAGGCTCATTCCTGGATTTTTCTCTGGGAATTCCTGGATTTCCCCGGGCCCATTCCAGGATTTTCCCCAGGCTCATTCCCGGATTTTTCCAGGCTCATTCCTGGATTTCTCCAGGCCCATTCCAGGATTTTTCCCAGGGAATTCCAGGATTTTTCCAGTCTCATTCCCGGATTTTTCCCTCTTTTCCCGCAGTTCTCGGCCGAGCTGGAGCAGCTGGATCAGCTCCTGCCTTCCTTGGAAAAATCGGCGCCGATTCCCGGGATTTGCGGCCCGGAAAGGAACGAATCCGGAATTTCCGGAATTCCCGGAATTTCTGGAATTCCTGGAATTTCTGGAATGTCTGGAGTGTCTGGAGGAGTGACCCCCCTGCAGCCCAGCACGGCCGCCAGAGCCCCCACGGGTACGGGAATGCCGGGAATTCCGGGAATTCTGGGAATTGTGGGAATTCTGGGAGTTGTGGGAATGGCAGGAATGTCAGGAATCTTGAGAATATCGGGAATTCTGGGAATATTGGGAATTTCAGGAACATCAGGAATATTGGGAATACTGGGAATTCTGAGAGTTGTGTATCAGGAATTCCAGGAATTCTGGGAAATCCGAGAATATTGGGAATATTGGGAATTCTGGGAAAATTGGGAATATCCCAAATTGTAGGAATACTGGGAATTCTGGGAATTGTGGGAATACTGGGAATTTCGGGAATTTCAGGAATATTGGGAATTCTGGGAATTCCAGGAATTCTGGGAATTGTGGGAATGGCAGGAATGTCAGGAATCTTGAGAATATCGGGAATTCCGGGAACTGTGGGAATTCTGGGAATATTGGGAATTCTGGGAATATTGGGAATTTCAGGAACATCAGGAATATTGGGAATTCTGGGAATTCCAGGAATTTGGGAATTCCAGGAATTCTGGGAGTTGTGGGAATGGCAGGAATGTCAGGAATCTTGAGAATATTGGGAATTCTGAGAATATTGGGAATACCAGGAATTCTGGGAATATTGGGAATGACAGGAATATCGGGAATAATTGGAATTCTGGGAATTCCAGGAATTCTGGAAATGGCAGGAATATCAGGAATGTTGAGAATATCGGGAATATTGGGAATTCTGGGAATATTTGGAATTCTGGGAATTCTGGGAGTAGTGGGAATATCAGGATTGGCAGGAATACCAGGAATTTGGGGAATATTGGGAATACCAGGAATTATGGGATTATCAGGAATATTGGGAATTCTGGGAATTGTGGTATTATTTGGACTATTGGGAATTCTGGGAATATCGAGAACATTGGGAATTGTGGGAATTCTGGGAATACTGGGAATACTGGGAATATTGGAAATATCAGGAATATTTGGAATACTGGGAATTGTGGGAATATCAGGAATGTCAGGAATTTCAGGAATTCTGGGAATACTGGGAAAATTTAGAATTCTGGGAATATTGGGAGCATTGGAATATCAGGAATTCTGGGAATTCTGGGAATAGCAGGATGGGAAGCACCGAGGTTCCCAAATTCCAGAATTTTGGAATTTTACCCCATTTTTTCCTTTTCCCCATTTTCCCCATTGGCTCCTTTTTTTTTCCCATTTCTCCCATTCCCTTTTTTCCTGTTTTTCCCAATTTTTCTTTTCCCTCTTTTTCCTTCTCCTCTTTAATATTTTTCCCCTTTTTTCCTTTTTTTCCCATTTTTCCTTTTCCCCATTTTTTTCCTTTTCCCTTTCCCCCCCTTTCCTCATTTTTTCCTCATTTTTTCCTCATTTTTCCCTTTTTCCCCCATTTTTCCCCATCCCCCCTTTTCCCCATTTTTCCTCTTTTTCTTTCTCTTACTTTTCCCATTTTTCCCCATTTTCCCATTTTTCCTTTTCTTTCCCCCTTTTTTCCCTTTTTCTCCTTTTCTCTTCCCACCTTTTTCCATTTTTTCTTTTTTTTTTCCCATTTTTTCCTGTTTTTTCCCTTTTCCTCATTTTTCCCCATTCCCTTCCTTTTCCCCCCCTTTTTCCTTTTCTCCATTTTTCCCTTTTTTCCCCTTTTTTCCTTTTCCATGTTTTCCCCATTTCCCCCCTTTTTTCCCATTTTTCCTCATTTTTTCCCCCATTTTTCCCCATTTCCCCCTTTTTCTCTTCCTTTTCCCTTTTTTCCCATTTCCTCTTTTTTTCCTTTTTTTCCTTTTCCCCTTTTCCCACTTTTTCCTTTTTTCCTTTTCCATTTCTTCCTTTTTCTCCCCATTTTTCCCTTTTTCCCTCTTTTTTCTTCCTTCCCACTTCTTCCTTTCCCTTTTCCCCATTTTTCCCTTTTTCCTTTTTTCCCATTTTCCCCCTTTTTCCCCTTTCCCTCCCTTTTTTCCTCCCTTTTTCCCATTTTTCCCCATTTCCCCCCATAATTCCCATTGCCTCTATTCCCTATTTTTCCCTTTTCCCTGTTTTTCCCCATTTTTCCCCATTTTTTCCTCATTTTCCCCAATTTTCCCATTAGCACTGACTCCTCTTTTCCCTATTTTATTTTATTTTATTCTATTTTATTTTATTTTTATTTTATTTTTTTTATTTTTGGAATTCCCAGCTCTGGGCCCCTCCCCCGCTCCTCGCGCTCCCTTCGACTTCTGCGACCCCGGGAATTCTGGGAATTCTGGGAATTCTGGGAATTCTGGGAATTCTGGCGCCTCCCGCGGCCCCGCCCAGCCTGGAAGAAACTCCGGGAACGTTCCCAATCCTTTCCCTCCGGATTCAGGTTGGATCCTTCCCAAATTTTTTCCCCCAAT